CCCCCTTCCATGCATTCCATATGGATTAAGCCGGGGAGGGTAAAGTACAGAATTGTCGGTGCGACAGGATCGGGTAAGACGACATGTACAGTGAGCACGTTATACTAAAGCCTCGTCTGACTACACCTCCATCAGAATCCCGCTATTCGATGCCTATTCAGACTTACCGCATATCCAAGGGGAACTTGTTGCATGCGTCAGCCTAGAACTTGGGTAGCAGCGATGTCAGTCGCTAACCGCGTGGCTCATGAACGGTAGGTTCTCCTTGTTCCTCTAGATCTCGCTCGATTATACTTGCTCAACCTCCACAATCCAGCTAGGGCGATACGTTGAATACTCGTTCCGCTTTGAGGACATGGCAGAACCTAGAACAACCTTCTTCAAATACATGACGGATGGTATGCTTCTACGCGAAGCCATGAACTAACCCAGCCTTGAGCGATATCCCACCACCATTCTTGACGAAGCCCACGAATGCACCGTTGCCACCAATATCCTCATGGATCTTTTGAAAGCTACATTGTCATTTGCCGCCCTCTATGCCACCAACAATCAAGATTCGGAGTCTGTGGGTCCCCTTGCCTACATCTCTCTTCACTTTTCTCCCCCCGCAACAGATATTCGACACACCTCTCGCTGCGCGGTTGTCTGATGGTCCGGGTATCTGGACGTAAAGTCGTTGTGTCGATGACCATTGCAGAAACTTCGCTGACAATCGACGGGAACGTTTATGTCGTGGCTCCGGGCTTTTAGAAGCAGAAGGTTCACAATCCGCGAATACGCGTGGAGAGCTTGCTCATCAGCCCCGTATGAAAAGCAGAGGACAGGACATGCAGGACGTACGAGGCCGGGAAAGGCTTCCGGTTGTGCATCGAGAGGGATTCTATGTTCGAGCTGGAGGAGCAGACTCAAACAGAGATTTTGAGGAGTAATCAGAGTAGTACGGTGCTGGAATTGGCCAAATTTAGTTGGAATCAAGGTCAGTTCCCATCTTTCAAATGATTCTGCCATTTGACGAATTTGATTTGGTTAGGATCTTGTCTGATTGATTATGTCGATGTCCTCCACCTATGAGGTGCTCATGAGGGCACTAGAACTATTGAATCTTCTCGCAGCTCTAGACGACGGCAGGAACCTCGCTACCATAGGTGCTCGATGGGTTCCCTCTAGACCCTCAGGTAGATACCCACCATTAAGGTGAAGGGATTACATTCAACTAACTATTTCCATAGCTATCAAGCTGCTGATCGTTAGCCCAGATTTCAAATGCAATAATGAGATATTGGCGATCACCGCGAAGAAGCCAGGTATGCCATGGTCCTTTTTGACTGCCGCATCCTTCTAACAAAGAATATCCATAGTGTGGCTCTGACCGAACAATTAAACACCACACCCAAGGTTTGGGCCCAAAGCGGACATTGAAATTTATGCTATATAAGCTGTTGGTATGCGTGCTGCGAGATGCGTATATCCTTTGAACGCCCCTATTGACACAACATGGATCGATATCTGGGGAAGCCCCTTCCGTTCTTGCATGGTTGGCGGAAGATTCCAGGGGACAGCAGCTCGATTGGCGTCATTGTATTCTCCCCCGATGCGACGTTGATCGCCACTGGTGATGATAAAGGGATGTTGAGTGTGAGTCGCGTCAACGCCATGGATATCCACCTCCATGTCCTCACGTCCACTGGCATACAGATATGGCAGGCAGCCCCTGCGTGGAGGGTGATTCGGAAATACTTCCTGCGGTCCAGAATTCAGGGATTATGCTGGAATCCAATACACCAGCTCACTCTCTTCGTCGGTTGCGCGAGTGGTTGCCTCTATACGGTTCGTTTAATGGATATCGGGGTATGATTGCACCACGCTCAGTTTGATTATGTTATTCATACTGTTGAAAAGGAATCCGCCAACGTTCGACAGCTTCCGGGCTATATTCATTCATTAGCAATCAATGAAAGTGCTAGTAAATTGGCTATTGGATATACGAACGTTGAGGGTGTTCACATTGCCTTTGTTGAGGACCCATGTGGGGGTCAGTTTCGATTCTTCAGATCAGTGCTCATAGTTATTAACTAGCAAGAATCAGATCTCCAAAGGCCCTTTCACCATGTGCCCTTCTTGCAAGATCACCTCTCAATCAGCATCCCACATAACATGTATTTTTTGAATGAAGACGTCCTCTTGATTTCTTACTTCGGTCCGCTTGGCATCCAGTATGCGTTCACATATACATGTGGCGAACACAGTGAATTAATGACCTTCTGAAGTGCGCATCGTTCATCCCACCCTTACGAAAGGCTGTGGACAATCAAACCACGCCAAGATCGTTGGATGTGAGGCAATATGTTTTCTCCCTCTCGTCGACTTCCTTATTTTGACTCGGTATGCAGTGCTGGGGCCGCGCTATCGCCCTCTGGCTCAATTTTGGCCGCCACGAACATGGATGACGGCATCGATTGGTATTCCATTACAAGGCGTGAATACGTGAGCACAACATATTACGACGTTCAAGGGGCCAGTCGGTCCAGACGGCTAGTTGGGATAACATTTCTGGATGAGGTGACAGTTTTAGCAGGTCACGTTAATGGGCACATAGTTCTCGCAACCACGACCATGACCAGCGGCCCAAGGTTGTTCACGCTGCGAAGAAAACCCTCAAAATCAAACCGTGAGGACCTCCTTGCCCTTTGCACTCCTAATTTAATCCATCCATCGATAGTTGTTCAGGTGTTAGTAAGTGTTACCGCCGTGTCTTCCAATCAATATTGACTTCATCCACAATTCTAGCCGCGGGGCATCCGAGCAGGCGATTGTCATATCCTCGCCGCACTGGGAGAGGGCAGAGATACCACCTTTGTCGCTGCTTTTGTTACTTTCCCGGACGTATCCAAACCATGGGTCGACGATGTGATATAATCAACCTCCCCTTCCGCTCATGACTTTTCTCATTTTGCACACAGAGAATAAATCTTGAAATCAGTCAAGCGCCGTCCACCTTTATGAAGGTATGGTACAATGGTGTCTATGCTACCAATGATTTGCGATTCTAACCTGCACATTGATCATCCAGGCCCACAGAGAAGTGCATTTGCCGAAAATTATTTGAACTCTCCAATTCAATGATGATGTAGGCTTCATCTGAAGTAAACCTCAAACGTAACCGTTCTTCCCAACGTGTGCCGAAACAGGTTTGTTAGAATACTTGTGTTCGCACTCTTTCTTGTTGATGCCGCGCAGTCCAGCACATCGACAATTATACTATTATCGCTAGCAGCACTAGCCTCAATGCTCTTCATCTGGCACGATGTATTGCAAGCTCATCATGCAGGCTCTCGGCTGTCCAACAAAGTCAATCTCGAGCGGGATAGTAGGGAGGTTGCGACTACCCCACCACCGGCATCCGCGGTGCAGACGACAATCAGTACTGTTTCATATACCACGACCACTATAACCACCACGATGACGGTGATATTACTTGCAAATCACACCGCAACAGTCGAAGAACCAACTACACACTCATCGGACACAGCATCAACTGCAATTCGCCTCGCAATGGCTTTGCTCGTGCCCATCTCGATACTCGCTTATTCCTCCTTCAAATCATCTCGCCTTGCCACCCCCTCG